AGTGAAGCAGCAACACTTAGAAGAAAATTAATTTCATTCATCAAAAAAAGAGGTCGAAGCCATTACAAGAAAAGAAAAGAACTAAGGATCTACATTAATCTCCTCCAGGAGGGCCCCCTCCTCTTCCACCACTTCCTCGGACACTGGCCTACCCCTAGTAGGGCCGTCGAACTCCTCTTCTAAAAAACCAATATCCAACTCTGGATGCTTCTCGCGCAGGCGAGACATCATCTCCTGGGCAGCCCAAGAAGCCCAGTAGCTAGCAAAGTCGTCGTACTCAGGCGTCTTGTCGAAGTTCGCCTTATAGTCCTCGACTGCTGCGTCCCCAGCTGTTTTCACTACGGCCCTCAGTGTCTCAATTCTCCTGTTTGAGCCTCAGACGGCATCCTCAGTTTGGCTTTTTGTTTGTTGGCCTCGATCAGAGCGTCCGAAGCGATATTTTGATGGTCATTGGCCTGGTCAACCTTTTTGGTTAGAGCCGCCACTTGAGAGACAAACTCATGAAGCTCATTCCTCAGCCGATTTGCTTGGACTTCGGCAGAATCCAGCTTGGTAGTGGCCACGATCCATTTGTCCTCTACCTCTCTCTTTGCCTTCGCCATCTCGGCTTCCTAAGTCTCAGAGGCTTTCAACCTCTCTTTCAGCTCGTCGTTCCTTTTGCGGAGGCCTTTAACAAGATCCTATGCCGCGGCGCCCATGCTTAAGGCCCTGGCTACACAGGCATTGTTAGCAGCCAGCAAGTCCTCGACTTCGCACGAGGCGGCATGATTAGCCCAGTCTTCAGTTCAATACTTGCTATGGACTCTGGAGGCCGAAGCAGTCTACGTGGGAAGCATCTCCAGCACGGCGTCGGAAAGATCATCGTCCTTGCTCCCCAGGAAGTCTGTGACTTTGCCCTTAGTCGGAGCACGGCAGGTCATTTCTGCCTTTTTTTGGTTGCCCCCTCGGTGAAATATGTAGTTATGGGCATGACGGCTCGGGAAGCGATAAGAGGGGCTGCTACTGTCACCCCAACGTCGAATGAAGGAGGAGGGATTGAAGGAGTAGATGCCCTTGCTATGCCAAATTTTCTTCTTTTTACGAGCGGAGCTCCCTCCTCCGCCTTGTCTTCCTCAACCAGCTGCTGAGCCTTGCTGAGGGATTGCAGACGCTCAAACTGCTTCTTATAAGCAGCCGAGCTTGTTTTCAACAGCTTTACCTCCGTAATTAATTTACGGATCGAGGCGAAGTCAGGCCTCAACACTTTCTTATTCACAAAGTCTCCTGCAAACAAGGCAAACAGATTAGTATGTTCACAGGCAAGGGCATAAGCAAAGGCGAAGCGAGATCCTTACCTTGATTCGACATCAATTCGTGGAGAACGAAGTGGGTGTTTTTGTCAATGATCTCTTTATAGCTCTTCTCCGTCGGAGGCGTCCAATAGATCTCATTTATTATATCTCACTCCCCATCTGATATTTCACACATCGGAAGAGAGCCTGTAAACAAGATATATTAAAACAATAAGCGAAGATGAAAAGTAAAACCAGCTCAGGAAATGAACTTACGGTAAGTTGAATACGATGTGGGAACAGTAAGAGGTGCCATGGGGTCGCCTTCCATGGTGTCCCACCTCCCGACTACCCAGAACCAAGAGCTCCTCCAGCCCTTGATGGATGTGGACAGCCTGGTAATGAAAGGGGCATGGGACCCCAAGGCCACGCACTTCAGTAGAAATATGGAATGAAAAAAGCTGAAAGGCATATCTATCCCCAAGCTGACTCGACGCCAGAGCATCCACGAGCCCACTATTTGGGACCAAGAATTGGGGTTGAACTGGGTTGGGGCAGCCCATACGAGGGAAGCACTAACCTAAAGAAAGGGTGGAAGGGGAACCTAAGGCCTGGCTTAAGGAAATTTTCACTCACAGCCACATACCCCAGCCTTGGGTAGCAAGACCTTTCGTGGGGCTCGGGTACAATTAGTTCTATGTTCTCAAGGATCCTAAAAACGACCCTGCACCTCTCCAGTACCCCTCTGGTGATTTTTGAAGGATAGTTTAAAGCTCCCCATTGGACCGAAGTGTCTACGGGAGAGGCTGGGCGTCTCCAAATGTTTTCCCAGGCTCAATGGCCTTACTCAACTCGTCCGACGATACCAATATTGGCTCCATCAGAGCAGAACTCCCCTCACCTCTTTTCTCCTCACTCCCAGAGGCACTAACAGACTGCTCGTTTGCCATACCAGGATTTTATGATAGAATCTAAAGAAAAAAAGTGAGGAAACTGAATTCAAGCTTTGTTACCTAGTTCAACGGTTGCCGAAGTTTGCAAGATCAGTCGCTGGAGTTCTGAGCGGAGGTCGGAGAAGGAAGCACGAACGCAGGGAATGTAAGGATTCTTTAGAGATTTTCGCAAAATTAAAAAGTTTCAAAATGAGGGGATGGACCTTTTAAAGACACTCCAAACTCGCTCTAGCCATTGGATCACCCAAATCTCATCTGGATCGTCCAAAGTTGAGGTACAGGGATCTCCGTTAATGCTAGGGTCATCTGAATCAACGGTCTTGATGAAGCAGTGAGGAACACGCATGACCTAATCACGTCGCCTAGAAGAATGAAAATCGTCGCCATCATTACCATTTATGGCAAAGGGGGCGTGCCTTAGAAGCCAGCAAATACCTCCTATGATTACATTGGGAAGACGCGAAAGCCTTCAAATCATTGACACGAAACCCAAGGCCGTCCATTCAGAAGCTCATCACTTCAGAACCTATATCGCTTCAGCCATTGCAGCTTAGCGTTACAACAGCTCTCCACAGAGTTGTCAACCTATATCGCCTAAGCCACAACAGGTTAGAGTTGCAACAGCTCTCCATAGTGTTGCCAACCTATATCGCTTCGGCCACAACAGCTTAGAGATGCAATAGCTCTCCATAGAGTTACCAACCTACATCGCCTTGGCCACAACAACTTAGCGTTGTAATACTCTTCATAGAGTTTCCAACCTATATCGCTTCGGCCGCAACAGCTTGGAGTTGCAACAGCTCTCTATAGAGTTGCCAACCTACATCTTAGAGTTGCAACAGCTCTCCATAGAGTTGCCACCTATATCGCTTTGGCCACTACAGCTTAGAGTTGCAACAGCTCTCCATAGAGTTGCCAACCTATATCGCTTCGGCCATTGCAGCTTAGCATTGCAACATCTCTCCATAGAGTTGTCTAACCTATATCACTTTGGCCAAAATAGAATCTGATGTTGCTATAACTTACCTCCTCGAGTTTCCAATCCGTATCACTTCGGCTATCCGCCTCTGGTGCTCGTCCCCGTACATACCAACTTAAGTAACTGAAATTAAGTCATCCTACTATATAAATATTTATACATGGACTTGCGGGACTATTGTTACGGGTCAATGTCAGACCCTCCACCTCGACGTCACGTGTCAACAGAGGTTGTCCACTGTAACACGCGTAAGCCAAGGCGATTTTCCCATAGGACGATCTGAGTGCACACATCGAAGTGATTACGTGAAGGACGAACTGAATAGGCGCCAGCGAACGAACTGGACTCATCCGCCAACATATCGCGGATGCAAAGGCACGCACTCCACTCCTATAACGCTGCAATGCCTCACCTCGCCTCATTAAAGATCTCTTATACAAAGATCTTTCCAAAGTCAAATCACTGACTGATAGGACGCGTGGCAAAACTCAAATGGTCAAATCAGCTACTCTTGTCAGAAACATTCAATGTCAGTCATCCTATGGATGGATGGATTGGTACCTAGGATGTGACAAACTCTAGAGATCTGGCAACACGTGTCTCCTCACTTGTGGCCGCTCCCAACCCTATGGGAAAGGCCACAAGTAACTAACGACGTGCCACGTGTGCAGGAAGAGCTGACTTGAAGACATTTTCTGTTGGCCACGTGTCGGAGCCATTTTTCGAGGTCAACATTTTTATCTTTATTCGATGTGTGATTTTATCTTTTAATAGGAAGTCATGCACTTGAACATCAACCTGATTCTAAATCCACTCGTTTCGTAGGTGACATTGCACCAATGGCAAAAACCTAATAGCCCAAAATCTACCGTCCAGTCTAGTTATCTCGCTAGGCAACTATGCCGACTACAGTTAATGCAAGAGCCTACTTAAAGGTCCTAACAAATACATCAATAAATTACCCATTTCTTACCAAGATCACAATGCCACTGGCAAAATGGGCAAATCCAATGTTTTAAAAATTCAACTGGCCAACGACCCCAAAAAAAGAAAGGGTCAAGGTCAAAATATTAAAATGACGTCGAACAAGTGATTTTAAAAAAAGTTCAAAATATACATTTAAAAAAATATACATTCACATTAGTTGAACCAATTAGATCGAGAACGAGTAGTTTTCCAAAAACTTACCGGTTTAACAGGTTTTGGAGTGGATTTTTAATTAGAGGTTTTATAAACCTAATCGGACCAATTTTGATCCCAGTTCCCGATTGAACCCGTCGGGCCGGTCCCTTTTTAAAATACTGGGCAAATTGTTATCAATTTCTCAACCTCTAACAGGCTGGGAAAGGGACACTCTGGTTTTCAATAGCTCCTTGTAAAAGGATGCTAACAGGATAGAAGCAGAACGCAACATACTGCAGAATCTTGAAGTTCACTAATTATGCTGCTCTCAACTGTGCAATAAAATGCAGGAAAGTAATTTCTTTAATGAATTGTCATAGAGGATAGCTCTAAGGTTATGATCACAAAATTTATATCTCCAACTATGCACAGAATAAATATCTCAGAATTAGAATATATCAGAAAATCAAGCTAAGGAAGCAGGAATTGTTTGACCATGAGATTTTTACCACCTATCAACATGATATCCAAATCGAGTTATCATACCCAATCCAAAATTTATACACACACCGTACAGATAAAACTGTAACTTATCCCAAAGCTCTATACTCTATTGTCTTTCTATTAACAGAGGATCTCTTGAGCACACTGGATGATAATGCATTTTCTCTCTTTTTAAACAGCATGGATAGGACTGTGGCTCGAGTTCATGCGTGAACTTCCCGAAGCATGATTTGCATGGAAGGCAGATGGCCTTGTAGAGCCTTCAACCAATTTTAGAGAGAGGGTAGATTTTCCCGCATCACCAAGGGATTCCCCTAAGCTTAGTTTTGACATACCTATCAGTTCATCAACATTAATGAGGCTCTTTGAATGAATAGCTGTTGGCTTAAGCACTTCATGTGTTTCTTCCTTCACTGGCTCCATGCTGTAGCCCGGCAAAAAGGGAAACAACAGAGGAAAATAAGGAGTGACATAAGATGGGCATACAACTGGGTAAGTGTATTGTGAACCCACTGGCTTAGGAAGCATGGTTTCATCATCATTGGAATTTGCACATTCCATCGATTCACATTCTTCATCTGCAGCGGGAGGAGGTGGGTGGTTGCTGCTTTGTGTCTCAGCTTCTGGGGGCACCACTGCAGAAATGTCTCTTGATACCACAGGAGTGTCCACCGACTGCAAAAATACAAGGAACAGGAACATGAGATGGGCATCAGATAAGCTTTTTTAACCCTTTTTCCCTATATAGAAATGATAGCATCTATAAAGTAAAAGTGCATACTGTTAATGACTAAAGCTGCTCGCAAACATATATATCATCATATTACAATCCAGTACTAGATATTTCAGACATTTTAATTCCCCAAGCAAAAGGGCCAACCAAATGAAAACTATGTTTTATCTCGTTTGTTCACATTACCATTTACGTTGTACCACTTAGGAGAGTTGTAATTTCCAATTAAATTCGCCCATGTTAGAAAGAAATAGCCACAACTCATTCGGAAACATTATCTGTTGCTGTAAAGTTTCTTTTATACCATAGATTAAGTAATGATATGCCAAATGTCTAGGTAGCATAATCAATTTACACAAGGAAAAGGAGAGTGCTTACTTCTTCTGCCACAATATCAAAGAGGCTGGTGCGTCTTTTTCTTCTAGAAACACTACATTGCCTGACAAAATATTTCTGGGCATGACTAGCCACCTGGGTAGGTGTTCTAGAGATAACATAATTTCGCGCAATTCCTCGCCAATCACCTTTGCCAAGCTTTTGCAAACCGAGCAAAAACATCCTATGTTCTTCTTCAGTCCATGGAACGCCTGAACATAAAATCATTGGCTTTCAAACGCAACATGCATGGCATGACAAACAAGTGATGCACAAAAAGAGATTTTACAGGCATGTTTAATACTCCCTCCATCCCAATTATATAGACTAAGTTTCTTTTTTCTCTTGTGCCAAATATATAGGCATGTTTTCTAATATAAAATATTTTGTTGTGTTCCTTTACCAATATATCCTTATTAAATTTTCCCCATTTAATATGTCGACTTCTTGAAATCATCCTAATACACACATTTCCCACTTCTTGAAAGCATGGAACAACTCTCATCAAATTACATCATTCAAATTCTTTATTAATTCCAACAATAATTTAATTTTACACACTCAAAATTAAATAAGGGTAAATTAGGAAAGATCTTGACAAATTAAAAACTTTCATTTATTCTTCTTGTTCTTCAAATTCTTTATTAGTTCCAACAATAATTTAGTTTTACATACTGAAAATTAAATGAGGGTAAATTAGGAAAGATCTTGACAAAAATTAATTTTTCAATGACATTAAAGAAGCTTTCTTAATCCATGTGAAGAACGAAACAAGGCTATATAATTGGGACGGAGGGAGTAACACATATACCAATACTTAAAACAATATAAGTTTGACAATACATCAAAAGTAACCTCCCGGGTGAAAACTACATTATTTAGCTGATGACAAAATTTTCAACCAAAAACACTAGCAAACAAAGCCAATTTTCAGTAACATATAGCAAGCAAATAATAAAGATCTTCTACAATATTTTGTACCTTGAGATACTCAATAAAATATACGTCACCCCACTGTTAGTCTGCCGAAATTTCTATAAACGATTTTCATTTTAAAAACAAAATAAATCCATGTTCTGAAAGCTCATTTCAATTAGTATACCTCCACCATTGATCTCCCAAGTTCCTATTCAATTGGTTAAATCAAAACCACAGAAGTAACAGATATAAAATTCAGTACTGTACATACCATTCACCACCACCAAGAAAAAATTGTGAAGGCATTAGTATGAAGAAGAAGAAGTAGAAAATGTTAAATTATATATAAAACAAAAGATTTATACCATTAGCTTCAGTCAGTCAATGGCTGCCACTGTATATAAACATTTACAGTTAACCACCTCAGAAAGTAATGTTCAATCAAACCATTCACAGGAATTGGTGTGTGCATGTATATCTCTGCCTTTGTCTATCACTTTTTAAATTTCTAGTTTTCTACAGAAACAGATAAGAAATCTCCTCATAATTCACATTATATAATGACCCCTGTTTCCTATCTTGACCCCTGTTTCCTATCTTGTATTCTTGTTTTCTAGTTTATGTTTCTCTAAAGAAAAGGTCATCTGTCCAGTGTCAATATGGCCAAAAACTCATAAATTGATCATATAAATTTCAACAAAAACCTTCCACTCTCTTGATATTTCTTTCCATCTCCCTGCAATCAAAAGCAGATGCTGGATATGTACATGTAAGTGCAATACATTACACACGTCGATCAACGGGAAATAATAATAATAATAATAATAATAATAATAATAATTCTTTTTCATTAATTCATCAAAAGATTGCCAACAAAATGTTCAATTTCACACATTCAAATCCACTTTAAAACATCATGTGCATTCAGATAACGCAAATGATCAACTGTTAAAAAAAAAAAAGTAAATCTATCTTGGTAAAAAAAGTTTCTCATCTTATTTCACCACAAAAGATTTTACGTATGAGCCGAAACATGGACCGATGCAGGTATGACCAACTGCATCCTTGTATCCCTTTTCGTTCATAAAAAAATTGTTCAAAAATCCAAATTTTGTGCTGAAACATTTTTTTAATAATAACCGTTCTCACATACCCCTCCAAAAATAGCATTTACACAAAACAAAATTAAGGGAAAAATAGACTTCAAAGTTTAAACCTTTCTTCCTTTCTCGGCTGGAAGATGACCCAGCAGCGAAGTCTTCGGAGGCATAGCCATCAGCAGCGCCGGATGCTTGATCGGGAGTGTCTCCCGGAGAATCATGAGCAACGCCGTTTTGGGGAGTCCCAGTTCCACCATTCATATAATGGGTCAAGTTCCCCATACTAGCACTCTTTCGGATCGACTCATCAGACAATCGGACTCCAAACAGCTTCACCCCTCGATTGGGACACGTTCGAGAATTGTGCCCGTTGTGGCTGCAATGCGAACACTTCCTCGTCATCCTCGCAAATACAACACAAAATTAACAAGAAACCAGTTTGGACTGAATTGGATATGATCTAATTGGTTTTTTTTTTTTTAAATGATTTAAGAGAATAATTGTTGGGATTTTATTTTGGGCTGGGATTGTTGCTTGAAATGAAGCTAATGTGTGCACAGAGAGAGAGAGAGAGAGAGAGAGAGAGGGAGGGAGGGAGCACAAGAAAATGGGGATAAAGCCGTGGCGTGATAAAGTAAAATATACCTTCGGGTTTTTTTTTTTTTAATGATAAAGTAAAATATACCTTTAGTTCAAAGCTAGAGGGCTGCGGAGATAAAATGCGGACAGAAATTGAACGTGACGCCGGC